GAATAATTTTGAACCCGACCTGCCGCTACACTTGCATTCAGGGTTCCCAATCTGCAAGCCGTATAATTTCCGCCTACGGAAAACCATACATTTCTCTTCGGTATTAAGAGGAGATCACATGGGGTTCATAAAATGAAGCAGTAGATTTGAGCCACATTGTTAACTTTACAAGCCACATTGGTTAATGCAGAGACATGACGTTTGATGAAGGGCCATTTCACGTATAAAAAAGCTCACAATTAAAAACTTTTTAAAACCGAATTATACTCCTCCTTCGAGTATAAGGTTGAATGAAGACGTAATTTTCTACTGAATGAGCAAAAGAATAAATATTTTATGCAAAGTGATGGTGTTTCGCTTGGATGGCGATAGTGGCAGAAGGAGCCGTACACAGTGGGGGGTGGGGGAGAAAGGGTAGACGAGAAGAGCTGCACTTAGGTAGACGGTTAGTTGACCTTTGGCCGTGGTAGGTAAGCAACCTGTACAAGGCCCTTCTGCGTGGACAAGACTGTTCTTCGCTACCTCACTGCAGCCGCTTCTGTTATCCTTAGCAGGCGCTGTCCCAGTGGATTAGGGTACTTTGGCGGTTCTTTATAAATCTTCGTTAGGGTCCATGAGATGTCTGAATTTAGTAGTACGCACGAGAATGGCGCTGATTATACTCCTGTTCTTGTCTATCCTCAACCATACCAGGAGGTGTTCCCTTATTCTATTCGATAGGCGCGACTCACGTGAAAAATAACCTTCTTCACAAAAGAAAGCAAAGGAGTAAATGCACATGGATGTGGTCTGAGAAGGCAAGCATTCCACACCTCCGTGTAAAACTGGGGTCTGTTGAGAATAATGCTCAAACTCTTGCAGCTGGGAAGGTTAATGAAATAACCTAGTCAGTGTTTTCTCGGGGATTCATTCTCCGCGTTCCCATGAAAGTAGAAGTTCAGGAAAATAGTTCTCTTTTCAGACGCCAAAACGGCGATTTCTGGTGGTATTCCGACAATATTCTTTGCAGTAAACCAGTCAGGATACGCGTTATTGCCAAGCAGACACTGAATCTTTCCAACCTTCTCGTCGATGCTATCTGTCGGACAGATTTTTCTAGCCTTATGAGCTAAAAAAGCGCATTATATTGTGTATCTGTTGAGAAAGTCCGGAAGTGGTGAAGTTTGCGCACTTTCTATCCCAATTTTTCCTCGTTTAGACGCCTCTTAACACTATCGTCACGTCTTCTTTGGTTTCGGAACCTGCCGTTTTTGCTTCTGCCATGAACGTAAGCGACGGACTACATAATTTACAGCCCCAAAGAGAGCATCTACGTCGGTTTTTGTAGTGACATTTGCAAAAATATCATCTACGTAGCAACTGCATTGACTAAACCTACTGAACCGGTCAATTGGTTGATATATCTCCAGCTTGCCCTTGAAAAGATCAGCTGAGACGACAAAGAGTGGAGACAATAGCGACGCCGTCTATTTGTCTGTATAGTTGGTAGTCAAACAGAAACTGCACGCTTACTGTGCATCTTACTAATGGCTCCTTGATTGTGTCCGTCGGTATTCCTATTGCTTTTACAAAGGCTGTCTATATAGCATATTTTAAAATTTTCTGGTTAATTACTTCCAATATCTATGCGATGCATTAGATGAAACTTCATCTCATGGATTTTGTTGCCCAAAATTATGTTTTTATTAATAGTATTGTTCACAGTCTTGAAATATATTAAACCTCCTTCAATGTGGGCAAAAGATTACATTAGCTTGTATTTTTGAAAATATTTGATCGGTCACTTTGTTTTATTCTATTTTTCATACTAGGATAAAGTGCTTCCTCTAAAATATCGATTGCGTTCTGAGTAAACTACACATCCTTCGACTCAGGCGAGAAATTTTGGGCATTTCTGTACAAAAAAACATGAAGAATAAATACGCCACGTTGCTCAAATCAAAAGGGCCAATATTAAAGTTTTAAGGGTGCCTCTGTCCTAAATATTATATACTAATTAGTGTTTGTCCTATTTCATTAAACAGTGGACCGTTTAAGTTCGAGACACATTACATTGTTCAGTAATAACCACCTTACCGAGTCCAGAAAATAAGCAAGTAGGTGAGTATCTAATGATCGTGTCCTCAAAATTCTCACATGCGTTTTCCCAAAGGCTTCCGATTCTCTAGCATATGAAGATTTTTTAATTTTTTCCTAGCCCACATGGTAACATGGGCCTTCTAAGTCTCAACCGTTGGATGAGTGAATTGACTTGATGATCTACAAAACTCATCTTATTCACCGACATCGACAGGTTGTGACTCAGTAGCACTTTAGTCGCCGACGGCCATTTGGAGGCCCGGACTTGGATGCTTTTCGTTCTTTTCGTCTGATCGAACGTCTTTTTAGGGGTGTTTCTGGCTGCTTCCTACGAAATAATATGTTTTTGTAGTACAGGTCTCAGCAGTCTAATTAATGACATTATGAAAGAAGACACGCTGAGAAGCTACTCAAACCAGCTGTTGTGATTCGAGTCTAACCGAAGCCAAATTCACCAATATCTTGTTGGGCGTCCAAAGTTTTTCGCCGGCAGAATAAACAGTACAGCCGATTGTGTTCTTCGGAAGGTGTTGGAGGCCTAGCCCTAAATCCATATGGTATGGCCAAAAACAGATGGCCTATTACAAGGCTGATTGGATTTATTCAACTCGCAAGCTAGTTGGACTCCTGGATTTTGATCAGCGACATATTTCATAACTGAAATCCCAAACTATTTGAATTTTTTTGTAATTTTTACTCTGTATTTGGTTTTGTAAGACGTAAATGGACGCAGCTGTGCGGGATCATAATGCAAAGATCCGCCTCGTACGTGCACATGTTGGGTGCTTCGGGCAGCGTCGTGCTCCACGCGCGTCCCCATTGCATGCTTCCCCAGCAGATCGTGATCAAGATTTGCCGGATTACAAATCGATACCGGATAGCAGCCGTCTCACCTTATCTCTTAGCCGTCCAGTTCACATTCCAGTGACGTTCTGTAGGCGCGCATCTCCCGTTGTCCGGTAACACCACACGCGTTAGAGAGTTAACCTGCAAATGGAACGTAAACAAATTTGACCATCGTATCCATCATGCGCGAAAGGCCGCCGCGGGGCCTGTCCTGGCAGGATCGCTGTGTATGTATATATTTTGGCCAAGGGCTGTCTGCACATACTTCTTGCGGAGCCCTGGTCAGGTTGCAATAGTCTGCAATGGATGCGTGCATAAAGTTGCTCGCTCTAACTGCACGTAGGTCACCCATTTCGTGTTTTTTACATGAATTTGATAAAATTAAACTGGATCTCCCCTCTACGATACTTCTAGCCAACCATAACCATTCATCTCCATCTCGAGCATAACCTGTAACTTCAGTTGAGACTTGGAACAGTAAGGGCTTTGAATGAGGATGCTACAGCATGGCAATCCTTACGAAGGCTTAGAAAACAAAGTGACTATGCAGGACTAAAACCGCCAACAGGTTGGAACTTTCATGGTCATTAGGATATTTCAAGTCTAATTTTTCCGCAGCTTACCTTGAAAGCTTGAACGTCGCGTTTTAAAGAATGACAATTTATGAGATATGTTTATCTTAAAATTTGACAGTGACAGGGATGGTATAACAAAAATGACGCTTTATTTTAGCTCAATATAATATTGCCCTCAAAAACCATTGACAAAATCCTGCCTAACAGCAGAATCGTCATTGTCGAGCTCTTTGAGGTCAGTTATAACGAAACGTTTTGCCTGGCAAGTGTCGTTCGCATCGTGGGACGCCGCTTAACTGGCCTCGGTTGGTGCATAGGGTATTTTGTAAACATCCGTTAACTTCCTTTTATTAAAGTGTAGCTTAAAATACTCTATAAACTCCGAGTCACGAAAGTGAGTTTTCTTTTTACCATAGTGCCTGTTTAAAGTTATGCTTTTTGACGGCCTTAGAATTCATAGATGTTTTGACAGATTTTAAATGATTTATATTGACCCAACTGCGAAGAACTCGGCGCCTCTGTGGTATTCGAACCCACGACAGTAAGGGGAAGGCTTTAGTACAGACAACGTCCTAACCACCTGACCTACGGGGCTCCGCCGGACGACGCGAGTTTAATCACATTTGGATCAAGTTACCCGCCCAAACTATAGAAACGTCTGGAATCCACCAAATCTGATACAGTAAACTGACTTCCCAAGCAGGATTTCCTAATTAATTCTCCTAGAATCCACCAGATGACGACCAGGCTCACGTAATTTATAAATGTTTTGGCAAAATTTTGAATAATTCATATTGACCCAACTGTGAATTATGTCTTAGAATTATAATGCATGTTGCATAAAACGCAACAGCTGGTCTAATTAACGTACTCAGGTTGGCGTGAGATGGCCAAATATTTTTTATGAAGTATCTCAATAAAGCACCGAAAGTTTAGAACTTCTACGATGGCTCTTCTAGCATAATTACAAACTGATAAGGCAGACCAAGCTAAGAAACATCGCAGTCTAAGAAGGGCAGTTTTGGCAAAAAATTCCAAAAATTGCCTTCCTAGAGGGGAAATTTTCCTGAAACAACGGATATGAGTTGAAAAAAAATCCGGGACAGTAGGGACTATTATTTCTGCAGATTGCCGGTAGCGTTTTATTGGTAGTCATTATATTATGCATCAAAATGTGTAATAGGTGTATATGAGAAAGGTAATAAATTGTATTCCGTACATTTCTGGAGTCAGGGCAACGGTAGGGTGAGAACCCCACTTAACTGACGGTAGGCTCTGGATAACGTCGTATGGGCTCTTATCTTGGTATCCATTTTCAGGCCGTTGCAGACATTACATAGCCAACAACAGTTACTTCCCCCGACCTTAAGTCATCACCTAAACTCCGTTAGTTTCAAAATTTACTTTTTATTAATTTGTTTACTACAACGCTCATTTCCGCTTCCGCACGAAAGCCTACGATAAGTCTTGAGGCAGAAATCCAAACAACTTCTGTGTTTTCTTGCATCTCGTCAACTTACCGTCTAGTGTGCTGCCCCATCAGTAAAACTTCCCTTACCACCAATCACGTGTGACACGATTCACAGTCTACCGACAGTAAGTGGGTTCCTTCTCCCTACTTTCGTCAGGTCGTCGTCATCAGATGTAAACTAAACGTGCAAAATGGTTAACATTTTATGAGTGCCTAAAGACCGGTGTTTGTTTCGTCTTGGCGACATTAAGCGGTAGCTGAATGCTGTCATTTCGTCTGGACTGACTGCCAACTCGGCCATTTCTACTTGAGATTTTTGCAGGCTGTATTTAAATCTGTACGTTCATTGATACACGATCTGTCCGACAATGCGAGTTTTGTTGAGAGAGGAAGTGAACCCTGTATCCAGGGTGCGCATATCTGCATGGGACTGGGGGTCCCGCCTCTATACTGCCAATCAGCGGTCATGCACGCGTGTGGAGGCATGTTTCCAAGTTTAACCACGATACACTTCATTTCATGGGATTTTGTAGACGATCTTCTTTTTAAGCAAATGTTCAGGCAGTGTTTATTTTTGAACACACTTAAAATGTTAACTGTTTCGCACATGTGCTCTACGCCTGGCGATGACCTGAGGAACTGACCTCGAAATACATTTTTCCACCCGGCCCAAAAAATGACTTGATTTCAGTGTACTTTTCTGGGGACGCCAACCTTTTAGTCTAAATGTGCCTATATAACTATAATGTGTCAATCCTATAATGATAGCAGTGCTCCTAAAATTTTTCAGTCATGCCTTTAACACTACCGACCACATACCACAATACTCCATCGGAAATATTCTGTCCGTGAGAATGCGTCCCAGTTCAAAAATATGAGCATCAGACTAAACCACACTACTTAGAACAGGAATATGCCTAAGGCGTAGCGGTAATTTGTTAAAATGGCGTGCCTTAAAGGTGACTTTCAGTCCTACAGTACCAAATTTACGGAAGAACCTCTCATGCGCGTCCTTTCTTTCTCAAGGCGGCATATAATCCTTTTTCTACGTAATATACCTCATTATCCACTTGGTTCACATGGGACAGACTCGGTGGTCTCGGCGGGATTTAAACTCGCAACAGCAATACCAAGGCTCGAGCACAGCCAACGTTCAGTCGGGTCAAATGAATTATTCAAATCTGCCAAAACATACTAATTAAGCTACGCTTGTAGTCATGTGGTGGATTCTAGATTGATTGCTCAGGAAATCCAGCTTGGATAGTCAGCTAACCGCATCAGATTTGGTGGATTTCATACGCTGCAGTAGGCTGGATGGTAAGTAGTCCTAAATGTGATTAAATTCACGGCTCCCGGTGGGGTCTTGTAGCTTAGTTGGCCGAAGCGTTGGCTGTACTCGACCTTTCAACTTGCTGTCGTGGGGTCAAATTCCACGGAGACCGCGGAGTTTTTCACAACTAGGTCAAAGGAAATATTTAAATCTGAAAAAATGCCCCACAATGTAATGTTGGGATCAGAAAGAATTGGAAATTCACCCCACCCCATCCGTTAAATACAATTAACTTAATATAACCTTAGTGATTATTGGAAGGCAGGGAAATGTGCAGAGTTAATTGAACTTTCCAAAGTAAAAGACGCCAATATTTTGCGCACACTAAATTTTCTCCTCAGGTTTGTAAGAACGAAGGAAAGTGCGGACATATGCCCTGAAATACGAATCCTTCGATACACATGCAGGCGTTCACAAAAAATGTGCAAAATACTTTTTGTAGTTAGAGATACATGTCGCTTCCCTACCCTTCGGATCTTATTCCGGGTTGCGCCTAGCATTACGGTTAGAATCAGGTCGTTGGGGTTCACTCTTGAGATTTCGATCGAGTCTAATGTTAGCTGTTAATGTTTGTGTTAGGTACCAGATAGATTTGATAGGTAGGGTCCGAGCGCCACGAATTTGCACTTTCGATGTGTGAAGATACTTTTGCATATGTTCATTAAGAGTATGTTTGCAACTAAGCTACCGCCCAGAGGTCGCCACCCATTATCAGATCTGCCACGTGCCTAAATATTTACTGCTGACGCCTAGCCTGCTCAGCGTAACTGTGTAAACAGTAACCAAGTGTTTTGAACATCAGTATTTTGAATTACACCCTTGTGGAAAAAACGAATAAATTTTCCGACAAATATAGACCATCTTCACTTTCGAAAATGCGCTAGTTCCAGCATGTTTCTCCTATTTCAAAGTGAAAGAGGGATCTAGGGTGTTTACCATGTTCGCTCCAAAAACATTTTCGTCTTTTCGAGGTTAACATCCTAATTAAACCTCAGAAGGGATGAATCTAGAAGTTCATGTAATTTATGGATGTTTTGGTTGGACAATATTTTAAGAGAACGTGACCTTCCTGGTTTACGTCTCTAGCCTGGAAGCTGTCTAGGCCAAATGAACTAGAGGCGCCGGGAAATAAACGAGATTCAAGAGAACATGAATATCATCAGTAACATCTAGGTCTTATGTGGGCCAACTTCTCAAAACTGTTACGGAAAAAAATAGTCGCAGGAATTACTTAAGATGCGACCTATCATTGAACCTTAGAAAGCTTATAGCAGCACTTCCATACGCGCATACAAGTCCTTAACTATTTTGTGATGAGGCGATGAACCTATAGAACGTTAAAATAGAGGACAAAACGCACCTTATACGGTGGGACTGAGTTATGTGGCCCCCTAAACAGGACAGGACTGAACCATGCACCTGCCTAAATGACTTTTAAAGCAGGGAAATAAGGTTCCCTGGTCTTCTATTACAAAATACCTCCTTGATAGTGGCCATTCGGTTGACCCCAAAACGTATTTTCGAGTATTAGTTTGAGCGCTAACAACTCCGCTATTGTGCTACCTGGTGGCAGCCTACGGAAGAAACCCGACCTATGTAAACAGTTAGACGACGCGGTCAACCTCAGTTTGCCCTGGTAGACCTGAGCCCTTTTGATTTTTCAAAATCCCTCGGCGTGTTTACTTCCCCATTTTCTTTCCTATGTTGCGTTTTGAAGCTACCATTTTATTGATTAGTCTACGCGCAGTATACGATGGCCTTGTTGTTCTACATTGATTTTATCTGTCGAAATTTAAACCTCTGCACATTTCTCACCTGTTATTTATGTTATGCAACGACAGGCTGCAGTTGAGAAGCCGTCGCGAAATTTACTGGTACCAATAAATTCTTCTGTCCATGCCTGCTTTAAATTCATTCCGGGGACATATTGCCTCAAGTTATACAAAGTAGACATGAGGCATTGTAGTGAAATAATTTTGACTTTTTATTTTCTAAGCCGAGAATAATACGGCGGTCAAAATGCGCATCAGGCGCTTCATTCTTTGCCTTTGATGGCGTTTCTTGTATTTGCCTTACACCATTCAACCCATTCATTGTTGCATATTCAAAACGCTTCTGGTATGTAAACACATAAATCTTATCGTATAGGCCAACTAGGCTTTCTTCATTGATAAACGCATTGTGCGCTAATAAAATAAACAGCCTTTGTCTTTTACACTGCTGGAAATATTCATTGTAACGGTTATTTTTCGAGATTATCACTCCGCTGGGGGTGGGCGAGACTGAAATCAAATTTAACTTCTGATTGCTATTTTTTGGGATTTTACAGTCGCCAATGTGTGCCCAGCACGAGAAGCCCAACTTGGAAAGGCACCTTTTATGTTGGCAACAGAGCTTGAAATGAAGCTCAACGATCAGATTACGCTTGAGTACGAGGCTTTCTACCTTTACGAGAAAATGGTGAGCTCTTCATACCGCGCTCCATAGTTTCCGGTTTTATAGGTTATTTTTATGCCACAGTTTTCCTATTCAGCTGTCAAATTATGCATGAAAGTTATGTGCACGTTGCTGCTACGGTCCGCTTTCTAAGAACGGCTCCGTTATTAAATGATAAGCAGTCGGTCCGCCATTAAATCACCCGGAACTTCATTCCTAAGGCCAACTGGTAGATGTTAAAACCCACATCCCATCCACTTACCTTCATAGTTCTTACAAATGTCTAGGGAATATCAGTTGCTCAACATGCAAAGACCGAGCTCGTGTCAATTTCTTGGAAAAGTGAGATTATTAACACCCAGACAGAAGGCGTTCGCATCCAAAATTATTGCCGTTTGTATTCCTTAGCGAAAATGTTCAACCCACATCTCCACTCTGCTCTGAGGCTTAGTATCAAGAGTACGTTTATGACGTCATTGTTGACAAAACCAAAAGTTTCACGAATAATCCCATATTACAGTTGGAAAGGTAATTGGGTAAACAAGTGTTTTCGGTACTCATTATCGGGCCAAAACAGTTACATAAAAGTTCGTGGGATTTATAAGTAGCTCAGGGGATATTAACACTCATCGTTCCAACGCCACCCTCATGCCGAGGTCAGCGTGTTATGGTCATCATTTAGGCAAGTGGGGAGGGGGAGGGTGACATAGGCTGCGAGTGACGTGTGTACGTCGGGTACATTCAGCACAAACCACCGCCATCAGGAGGTTGGGGCGGCGTGTAATGATCCCCTGGAGTCGGCGTTGGCCACGGAATACGGGGCGCCTGTATCAAAGTCATCTGAAAACATAGCACTGGATTCGCTAGCCGTATAGACACTGCCTCGGCTGCAGCTAATACTCGTTGGCATAGGCCTCTGGAGAAGTTTGCAAGTGTCCGGTAGAAAACATGAAGGGCTTCTTTGACATCGACAAGGCGATTCATATGGACAAGATGTGCGAGAATAGAACTGGAAATCAATTTGTTTTCACCTCCGCCTAGCCAGGCCGGGATATATTCATGTACGCTCTTTTCCACGCGCCTCGTTGTACGGCCAATGTAGCCCGCTCCACAAGAGCAAGTGAATGAGTAAATACACATCGATGTGGCCTGCAACGGTAGTCGGTCTTTACCTCCCAAGCGTAGGGGGGAGAGTTCGTGAAACATACACATGAATTCGTCGCAGGGAAAGTGCTAATGTTCCATGAAAAGGCAGTCTTTTAAATAAGTCTTTCGTTTCTGCATTTGCTATGGTGGACTTTGCCTGGACCAAATTGCGTTTAAAACTTAGAGGGACAAAACTGTGAAAATTAATGTATTTTCCCGTCCAGGTTTTCTTTCGGAGTACCCTACGCTAGATAGGTCCATCCTATTGTCTTCGCAGAAGGACATCGAGGAACGCAACTGAAGACATGATGATGGGTTCGAGTGGGAATCCGAAACGTCAGGCCGATAAACTTATTCCAGTTATCGCATCTTATTCTTCTTCTGAACGCGATTTCGTTATCTGCTTCAAACTCTGCGGAGAACTTCAGCGAGGAACGTACACTGTTAAACTTTTGAACCAGGCGTCTGTGTCGGTGGTAGGATCTGTCAGGCAGAAAATATCGTCCACGTACTGACCGTAGAGGTCAAGGTCATTAACAGTATCTTGTAACCCCGCCTTCTCGACTTTGCCTATGAAGAAATATGCGAGGAACGGACCAAGCGGTGAACCCATCGCTACGCCGTCTATTTGTCAGTATTGTCGGCCATTGCAGAAAAACTGAACATTTTGCGTGCAACGTGTCAGTAGTTCTTTTAACGTTTCTACTGGTATGCCCAACGGGTAGTTCGTGTCGCGGATAACGTCACAAAGGTAGTTTATTGTTTCTGCTAGAGGTACGTTAGCAAACGGTGATGCTATGTCTAATGATAGCATCCTCCGTCCGTCGACGCTAATATCCTTGATAGCCTCCGCAAACCTAAAGGAGTCCTTTAAACTCGGAGGGTACAAATGACATTGCAGTGGTTTCATTTTTTCCACTAGCCATTTTGCAATGTGTGATAAGGCGAATTCCTCATACTCAAGATTGGATGTAGTTTAGGTCCGTGTTTGTGCATTTTTGGAAGGCCTTACATTCTGGGTATCGCCGTGCCTACTGGTCATATTCTTTGTCAGATAAATGACCTTCTTTGTGAAGAACTTTGAGAATCGTCGTCAAATGAACTTCGACGGCCTCGGTGCGGCTCCTGTCTTTCTCGGATTTTACGAATTTGGTACGACCCGACACGGCTGCGTCTAATTTCGATACATTATCTTTTCTATGCACCAGTTCAAACCCCCAACCCTTATCCGATCTGGTTAGCACAATACTTCCGTTTTTGCGAAGTTCCCTGAGGCTATCGAGATAAACCCTTGTCAAGGACCTTTGTTTCTTGGAGCCTTCCTTAAGTACTGTTGACAGCAATTAACCATAGTCGACTTAAGATAATCAACTTCACTGGCCCAATAGGTTTTAGATCGACAGTCGGGCTAACTAGATTCCTGAACTGGGTTTCTAACTCTAACTGCTTCAGCATCCGCCGTGAATTACAAGACGTAGGACCAAGAGATAGTACCTCTACGAGAGTTTTGTCAAGTCGTACTGAGGAATAGTTATGAACGTGCCATCCCGGATTGTTCGGAAGGGCCGTCTGAGCCCTCGCTCGTTAGGCACTTCGTAGGAGCTTAGTCCACCTGGCCTCGGTCCTTTTACTTCTGACAGTTTGCACGTAATCTTCAAACGCCAGTCTCACTCAGTTTTCAAGACGGTCGAGGGTCGGTGCTCTCTGGCACCATTTCCGTCGGCCTCAAACTCTGCAGAAAACTTCGGCGTGGGGTGTGCACTGTCAAACCTATGGACTAAAAGTGATAAGTAAACACACCCTCTGTATTGTTAGAAAACTATGCGGAAAGCAGTCACTGCTGTTCGGTAGTTTTGCGAAAATTCGAACGGGCACAAGGTCAGTATGATGGTCCCTTTCATGGAGGATGTACACGCGTGTTTATCCAGAGGTATAGGCGGTGAGCTATACACAGGTCTGTTATAAAAACCTGCTAGTCAGTTCATAGTACAGTTAGACACAGGAAAAAGCACAGACAACATGGGAGGAATTAAAACGGGTTTTTCACTTTCCATCTTTTAGGCGGCTTACTTTTCACGTGCTGATAAGGCACTCTTCGGTTTTGCCGCCTACTTCCGTCACGCCGCCGAAGAGGAGAAGGAACATGCGCGTGAATTTACCGAGTTTATTACCCAACGCTTTGGCACGGTCATCTTCAAAAATATCAATGCAAGTTTCTTGTTTATTCTTCTGTCTGTCTGCTTATGGTCTGAAGTGAAAGGTTCGAAGTAGTCGCCGCATCATCAATTTGCGTTGGCTATTGCTGCACATGTCCGACCTCCTTTTACACTCTATTCACTCATGCACCTCCTTCTCCTACCTGACATGAGGCCGCCATTTCCACTTTAACTGTGTTACTATTTTATGTCGTCCACCTTCAACAATATTAACAAGAAGAAGGCTGGATTGATGGGGCATGACATTCGTCTGTCCAACGTTTCGAATTCACTTTTGAAATCAATCATCAGAGCCGGCGAAAAACCTGATGGTGTGGCTTTGATGTGGAGTGATGAAGTCTGGACAATTAAACCCCAGAAGCAAATCACTATGCATATCGAATTCTTCCGATATGTCAGTTAATTTATTTGTTGATGTCCCTAAGGAGGAGTTCGAGAGTTGTTCTGAAACTTCTGGAAAATGCTATTCTCGTCTAAACTACCGACTCTCTCTTATCTCACCGTCTGAGTGCGTGCGGCTCAAACGGACTCCTTTTTGAAGTAGGTAAGTAAGTAGGAGACAAGTGCGCATTCACTTGTCGCAGTTTGCGACCGACTACGAGAGTCTGTCCAACTCAGGTGACAAAAACCACCATCAGCGTTGACTTGCGCGTGAATTCGTTTATAAGGAAGCCTAAATGCGAAGAATCCATCTGCCGTCATTTTTCACATCAATCATGCTCTAACTGGAAAAAGTCAGAACGACTGAATATGAACGATTGCGGAATGGACAACAGCAGAAGTAAAATTATTCTTGCAAGCTATAGACGGGTTTAGTCCCTAATTTACAGCCCTCCGATCGCACAAGAATAGGAATGGGCTAAAAGCCACACCAAAGTAAAACCACTGCAGTCTTATTCCTTTTTTTCGGAGGACAGTGTTGGCCTGTCTATTCGCAATCTTCCAGTTCAGAACGTTTAATGTGTTGTAGTCGTTTGAAATCATAGCAACTATATAATAGTGGGATATGGCACTGTTATAGCCATGAGGAATGTGACCTCAATCTTGCTTCACTCTTCCTCTCAAATGTGCTAGTAGTCTGCCTGAGTTAAGTCGACTGGGTGAGATTTGTCGCCTAGGCCAAGACGGGAGCCAGGACATACGTTAACCAGTCTGCAGAAAGGCAGCGCGAGGCCTTAACTACCGTCCTACATTTTGGGGGAAGTGTTGGTGGCACACCTAGGCGCGAGTTCTCGCGCCGCATTGGCCACGCCACCCAATCGCATCCCTAGCTGCTTGAAGGGCTCCGAAAGTCGACTGGTACATGGGAGAGGGAGGGCTGAGTGAGATCGAAAGTGGAAGATCCACGTCCAGGGCACTTCAGTCCATTCCTCACTTTAATAAATCTGAGGGGATAGAACCTGTCATGACGCGTCAAACGTCGTGGCCTCGAGGGTTACCAACTGTCGGAATGAGTCGCTACTTAACAGAAATTAGAATCAGGCTGTAGTGGTTCCTTGTAAGTGTGACCTTGTAGAAGCTTGGTATATGCTCTGGAGACCCGGTCGTGTGTGGCAAGCATAGACGGGCCGGTTACAATAGGTGTGTAAACTCATGAAATGTCAACCGAACTTTCGAAATGGGCTTTCGTTTCGAAAGGATCGATTAAGTAGGATTGTAAAATTAATCATCTTGCGGCATAATTATATAATAATTCAGTCACCCCGTGATGCTGACTTTCGAACGAACATCTTTTCGGCCGCATGCAAAGCCAGACTTTGTAAAAAATGACTACATAAGTAGCATGCATTTTTATCATTGATTTTCGATGCCCTTAAAAATTCAATCATATTTCGTGGAAAACATGCATAAAATATGCATTCTTTCTCACATTTAGTAGAAAATTACGCCTTCTTTCAATTTTATATTCGAAGAAAGGGTAAAATTCAGTTTTCAAAACCTTTTCCAAGTACCGAATAATTTTAAACCCGGCCTGCCGTTACACTTGCGTTCAGGCTTTTCAAACTACTGGTACTCCAAGTATGAAAAGCCATAAATTTCCCTTCGGCATCAAGGGAAGACCATATCAGACTCATAAACTTTGACAGTGGATTTGAGCCATATTGTTAACTTTACAAGCTACATTGGTAAATGCTGAAATACGTTTTATAAACGGCCATTTCACGATCTTAAAAAATCTCACAATTAGAAATTTTTTTCGGAAGTTCGGTTGACATTTCATTAGTAAGCCCACCTACTGTCTCTTTGTTGGCTACTGTGATCGTGCCCATCTTTAATCATCTTGACATTGTCCTACTGCCACTGCAAGGTTAAGGATGAAGGAGGGGGTGCAGTAGGCGCTGCGAAAGTCCGCCCCACTATCAACCAATTAACGTGTAATTAGTCAGTGATGCGCCCGCCTCAGAGGACACACGATGGATGCCATCGCATCAGACTGTCGGGTATGAGGCTGGACGCATTGACTGATGTGGCACAAAGTCGCCGTTTAACGATCTCCGCACGCAGATAGGATCTCACATGCGTGGCAAGTGTCACAAAGGCCGGATTACAAGGAGGAGTCCTTGCAGTCTCAAAAGCGAGTAGAGTTATTTCGTCAACTGTAGGTCTTCGAAGCCGCACCTTTCAACTCCCCGGATAGTTAAAATGCATCAGATTTATTACAGTGAAAAATTCCTCAATTATCACGAAGCAACTAGTTAAAGAAAGTCAGATAGTGTGCTACGAAGATGCATACGGTGAGGAGTCTACGATCGTCCTTATTTTGCCAGACTGCACAAAAATATTTCAATTAGTTAGTGTTCTAAAATCGAACATAACTGGCTGGTGAAGGGATCCCTATATGGCGACTATGGCTCCCATTTAAGTAGGAATGAAGAACCATCTGATCCAGACGACCTTAGCTAATAAAACTGGACAGCTAACAGTTCATAAAATCCAACTCCAGTAGAAGGTCTCCTGCCAATCTTATGGATTTCAGAATGAGAGGAACAACATATTCTTTCGTGTGTGATGTCACTTTGGAAAACGTGTACAATTTTATTTACAATTAGCTGATTTGATGTATTTTCTCTACTCTAGTTGCCCCTTGACATGCCGGCTACTTGGGGCAGTCCCGTCGACGCTCTGAAGGCTGCTCTTCAACGTGAGGCTGATGTCTATAATTCTATTCTCAATGCATACAACAGTGCGGAGAGGCTCCACGACTTCCATGTATGTAGCAGTTTTATAAAACTCTTTTCACCCGACGAACAAAATACTGGGAAATGGTCAGTGGTGTTTTAATGCTAGCGTAATGGGGAACCAGTCGGAAGCTGTTGATTACGAGCCGTGAAAGGAATACGCATCCCGAAAGCACTATCTGCTGAACTCGATAACGAGGGATTAAGTCGAATTTTCGCACCACTTATAGAGCCCATCTTTCGAGTTCAGCCAGAATAAAAACAATTCATTAGCTCGAAATGTGATTTAACAAATCAGATTAATTTCCTGACACTGAGAGTCTCAGTATTGATCTTGAACGAAGCCAGAAATCAGGGTCTGGCCTGCATGGTGAGGGTAGAGAGGGGGCCGGTTCTACACATGTACTTACAGAATCATGCCTCGATTCCAGTGCCCCGATCAACTCGCCTGCTGCGTTGGGTGCGACTCATTGAAATTTTGAACATGGCATCATCATCTTTGACAAAATATTGGTCAATGATGACAAACAAAAATTCGTCTCTTGTAAGCGCGATAGCCAGACAGCTACAATAATGTGTTTTGATTGGGTTGTGGAGGAAGAGTGAAATAGGGAATATTTTTATGAAAGGCCTTGCAAACTTTTGTTCGAACATGTTATGGTAGTAAAGCCCGTGTAAGAAGGTGAAAATTGTTATATTGTTTGTCAAATGACACTAAGCCATTTATGATCAAGGTTACATATGACTGGCATTCTGTAAGACATTATATATTCAGCATACATATAAATATAACCTTTTTAAGATCACTAAAGAGGACCTACGCGCGTCCGATCACTTACCTAGATAAATGCTAAGTCACAACCCCCTTTCCATTCCTCAACATTTCATCTCCCGTTTCCTCACGTCAGACTACTTACATAGACCTATTTCCTCCAGACTGTTCTGATTCATTTCTCTTCTCCATAGTCGCAAGAATTCTTGGATCACTTTGCCAAAGAACAGGCGACAGCACTGTTTAAACTCAAATCCCTCATCACTCGGTTGGACGGAAAGGGTCCGGCAGTGGAATATCACATCGACCGCGAATTGGCTGAGAAGCCTTCGATGCATTAACTAACCGGTCGAACCTCGACTGCGTACACTGTAGCAACAAACACCCCATGTATGCGTGTGTATGTGTGTGCCTATGTAAAGTCCCCGTTTTTTTCATTAGGCAAAGTGAACGTCATTGGACTTAACCTTTGCTGCAAATTCATTTCGGAAAAAAACTGAACAAATATTTCATCCTCCCCGCTGGTGCAGCGATTAAAGGACAAATATGTTATAACATTAATTGAAACACTCCCACTTCATGAATGACTTTCCGGACAACACCAACACGAAAGAAAAGCTCAGCCATGGTGGCTTCTTGGCCTCTAAGAAAAATCACTTCTTAAAAATTTCTCTCATTAATCGTAAACTGCAGGCTGGTCGCCAACAATCTACCCTTTCACTAAACCACGAAAATTTTTCGAAAAAGCGACTTGTGGGCATTTTCAAGAGTTATCTATCGAAATTATTTTCCTCAAAGAGGAATCTCCCAACAATCCTTATTTTTTAAGAAAAGGAGTTCGGATCCTCCAAGTACGCGTTATGCGATGGATATTAATAGACGGAGAGTCGGACGGAAATAAGTTTATTGGAAGATTGCAGAAGGGCCTGCTTTCCCTTTTAAAGGGACAGATTTCGTTTTCCGATTTCTGACTCAGGCTTTGGGAAGGCAGGCTGCTTTAAAAACTCACTAAGAATCCAGCTTACGGGTTCAACAAGATGGGCCTTAGTCGGTTACGGAGATTCTTGCAGTCGACGCGAACGTATGCATTTACTGGGTTTAGGACTTTGGGGGATGCAGAGACGAAGTTGAACATCGGCTGACGTGCTCTACCCTCCATACATCTCAGCAGACATATGACATTGTCCAACAGACGTCCGAATAAAGACGCCTGGATCAGTTCCAGTGACGCACTCCGTTAGATTCCAGACAGCAGCAGGATCAAAACCCCGTCGTGGAAGACCTGAGCTATCGGTGCGACCAACTACGTGCAGTTAAACTCCCCAACTAATTTAGTCAGCATGCTTCCAGGTATTCGTCTTTCGTGTGCACAGCATAGAGCACAACAACCAAAGTAGGCGCATGAAAGAATTGCTTGTGATGGCTATAACAGTTTGACCGTCGATTTCGACGACGTCCACCGTGTGCTCCGCAGTATGGTGCAGCAGGCACGGTGACTTGCGCGCTACTTAGTTGATAGTGATGGCAGACTTGCTCAGCGTCTACCGCACTCTCTCCTCCTCCCACACCTGGCCCGGTGTCAAGACAAAGTCAAGAAGACCGGGGGCGGGGTAGGCGCAGACGGATGGCACGTTCTTGCCCGTACCTTGACGTTCCACTTCACACCCCCTGGTCCGCACTGCAAATGATCACGTTTTTGATCAGTAACAACAATGGACGACAGCAGATGTCCCAATGTGCGCGACGTCTGCCGGCAACCGGGTCTGCCACCGGAACCCGAAATGTTAGAATTTGTTATGGTGCGCTAATCCGAGAACGCCCCCGTGTTGGTCCAGAGCATCTACCACGTGGCCCGTTTTGGGGACAATGTGATGGATATAAGGTTTCATTGGCAGCCTTACAATCTCGAAGGGCTACAAGAATAGTCGATTCGGGTGATGATCGTGTCTTTAGTCAGAAATCATATTGAAACTTGGCTCTTGTCGTTTTGTTCATCTACGGTCGCAAACTATGAGATGGTCCCTGTCAGCGTAAATAAAGAAACACAGGGCACCTTTTGCCACCTTGGTGAATGTACAGAAACTTATTTCCGTTGAAAGATACGTCACGCAGACTGCCTGATCCCGACAGTAGCAGTTCAACATCGTAATGATGGCCACAACTACACACTAGTTATCCAAATACTACTTTAAGACAAAAGAAGCCGCAGAGGCCAACTCAGAAATGTATACAGGCAGATGGTAGACTTCTAACAACACATCAGTTTTGGTTAACAACCTCCCGAGCTAATGTTCAGCCATATAGTCGGAATGCAATAATGAAAATCAGGTAAACTTTTTTCGGCAGGGGTCTATGGATGACGGCTTACTCCGTGTAATCATTAAATCGGAAATATCGCATACTTCTAAAGTTTCGTTTTTTGTATCTACAGTCATGTTGGTGGTAAGATGGAGGCAAAGCCATTGAACAGTAATTTTATTCTTACAGCATGTCGAATTCGTCCTCGAATTCAGTATCAGAAGTAGATTCTGATTGGGATAACGAATTACCTAAGCACCGCAGTATTTATAGGCTGCGGTTACTATGACACTGCATGCTTGACAAAATTGGCAGCTCCCGCATTCAACGTAGGTAGTTGCACTTGATGCTAAAATCACCTGATTGTCTGCAGCTGAGTCGTTAATAGCCGCAACTTTGTCCGTCGTGTATTTTCTTGAGCCATTCGGTCCACCGAAAGTGGAACTTGAAAAGGCGCTCGCCCACTCGAACGTTCCTCCTCCTCCTCCTCC